AAATGAGTTACTTTCACAAATAGTTCAGTGCCTACCAATTAGGCGAGCAACATAAAATATGGGGTCATAAAGTGCATGATATACACTATAAATATTATTGGAAAACTAGGATTAGTGAAGTTAAAGATAATCTAAAGAAAATAAAAGTGGAAGAGTTGCAGGACCAGACGATATCCATATTGAAGTTTGAAAATATTTTGGAGATATAGGCTTCGAAGGTTGATTAAATTTAATAAGATTATTGAGACCGAAAATGTCCGGTGAGTGAAGCATCAAACACTTTGATACAATTACAAGAATAAATAAGAAATACAAAGTTATTCAAACTATCATGCTATTGAACTCACGAGCCATACTATTGAACTTTGGAAGAGGGTAATTAACAAAGACTAAGAAAAAAGATAAGTGTATCCAAAAACCAATTTAGTTTTATGCTTGGAAGGTCAACTATGCAACCTATTCATGTATTGAAATGATTGCTGGAGAGATATAGAGAGAAGAAAAAGAATTAACATATAGTTTTTATTGATCTAGAAAAAGTTGATGATAAAGTGCCTAGCGAGATAATGTCGTGGGCTTTACAAAAGAAATATATCGCTAGTATATTATATTCATTGGATTAAATATAGGAATCATAAGGTAACAATTAGAGTAAGAAAAAATGAAGGAAAGACTAAAGTTTCCTATGATCATAGGTTTACATCAAGGATCGGCCTTAAACCCTATATTTTTACACTAGTTATAAATCAACTTACTAGACGTATCAAGATGAAGGCATATGGTGTATTTTACTTGCTAATGATATAGTATTAGTCATCAAGACTAGAAACTGTATAACTTCTAAAGTACAAAGGTAGAGATGAACCATTGAAACTAAGGTTTAGAATTAGAAGAATAAAAAAATTTAGGTAAAACTAAAAAGAGAAAATCGCCTATAATACATATTGATGGTTAAAAATCTAAAAGGAATCACTTTCTTTATTTAGGATCAATAATTCATCATGATGATGAGATTGAGAATGATAGTCCATCGAATAAAATTGGGATGGTTAAAATTGAGGAGTGCTTCGATGTCTTATGTGATCGTAGAACATCTATGAGTCTAGAAAAAATTCTACAGGATGATTATAAGACCAATAATGTTTTATCGATCAGAATGTTGGGCAACTAAAAACTAACATGTGCAAAAAATGACTATAGTAAAAATGAGAATGTTATCATAGCCTTGTGGGTGTACACTAAAAGATATGATAAGAAATGAGTACATCTGTAGTAAATTAGATATTGCTCCTATTGCAGATAAATGAGAGAGAATCTACTAAGGTGATTTTGGTCATGTACAACAGAGACCTCTTAAGGGACCGATTAGAAAAAATAATAATATTACGGTTAATGCGGCAAAGAGAACTAGAGGCAGATCTATGAGAACTTGGTTGGAAGCAATTAAGAAAGATATGATAATGGTTAACTCAACAAATGAGATAGCCTATAAAAGAACAGAAACGAAGATAACATTCATGTTAATGATCCTAAACATTAGAGATAAGGGTGTTGTTCTCACAAGCTTGAAAGTGAAATTTGGTTTCTTTTCTGGCTAAACTACAAAAAACACCCTTATCTATATCTTTTTTTTAAAATGAAAACTCTCATCTAAAAAGCTCATTGAAAACCCAATTATGGGCGATCAAATATACAAACCATTCAACAAGATCAACAAAATACAAGTTTGGGCCCCACCAAGGGCTATGAGCAATAAAATCAACAAAATTATGAGAATCCCCAGTTGACTAATAATGAAAGACTACAGAACCCTAAGTCAAAATATGCTGCAAAATAGCCTTAACCTCATAGTGCAGGGTCACCAACCTCGCATGAAGGCAGGATGGTGTGAGAATGAAGTAGTGCCCACTATTCTAAGCTCGCGTGAGGACACAGATTAGCCAAAACCACCATTTTAACCTTGCACGCGAGGTTGATGAAGCTACTACAATTTCAGGCTAATTAAATGTAAATAGGACATTGTAAGCTTGTGTGGGCTCTCTCCACAATGATTGGCGGCAGTCCTATTGTACTCTCTGCACAATATTTAATGCACATTATGTTGCTCATCAAGCTCGTGCCTGTCTAAACTCACATGAAGACTAAACTTCAGCCTATAAATAGGCCCCTTCACCAACTTTCAAAGGGTTGGTTCTCTTTCTCTTGGCCAATGGGAAGCTTTCTCCTTATGACTGCAGAGTTAGCCTTGCGCTACAGGGAAGAGTGCTCGAGTTAACCTCGCACCACGCCTATAACACTTGATTTCTTTTTATTTTGTGTTGGCCCCAAAGTTGGTTATCCAGCTCAGTCTAGCCTCTAAAACTTGACTTTCATCACTTTACCGAGATTTAGCTTGTCAAACGAGGTGATCCCTCTCCTACGAGTTAAATTTCCCACTTCAACTTCAAACTTGAACAAAAAATAAATTTTAACAATAATGATGCATTCGTCAACGGAGCAAAGAACCTAACCTCTCTCGGCACACTTTCGCAGAATCAAAACTTGTAGTTTTCACTTTGAGTTAAAAAGAGCAAATGTAGATCTACATAGTTTGTAACTTTTTGACAAGAGAACACTCATCTATGACCACTAATGAAACTGTTAATGACATAATGTTATAAATGACTTTTATCTTCAGGTTTGCACTTGGGTAGAAAACTATACATACCTTTACACCTCAGAATCTACATATTTTGATTGTTGAAAGGAAAGAAATAAGTTATTGGATGAAGTAAAATAACCTTTTTTTTAACTAGAATTTTGCATGCATACATCTATCCAGAAACCTAAAGAACCATAGACGAGAGAACTTTTTTGTTGAACTTTTTAGATGAAGGAAACAGGGTATAAATGAAGGGCTTTTTTTGTTAGTGCACCCTTCTTTTTTGTGAGACATTAAAACTCTAAAACACACTTCTGAGTATAAGATTAGAAATAACAGCACTTTTAGTTTCGATATTCCATAGAAGGAGTTGCATGTCCATACAGGAAACAAGTTTGACATCTCTTGTTCACAAAATCCATGCCAGGAGGCCCAAGACTAGATAGTAATAGTAAACATAATAAATGCATGAGTTACTTCCCTCAGTTCTATAGATTGCTCCCATCTCCCTCTCATCAATTCCATTTCCAAAATACCACAATATCAAGATGCTTTTATGCCCATCTTAATAGATATTTTATGTAATCTTGTAAATGCATGTTTCTAGCAACCACTTGATTTGCTAAATGCATCTATCCTTTAGTGATGTCATTTGCTTTCTTTGATCAACATGTTCAATGAATGAACATGTGGTTAACATCATCCTTAGAAGTAATAATGGTTTGCACATGATATTTATTTTTGTAGGATTCCTTTGTATTAATTTTAATCTATTATGTGAATTTTTACATAACATGCATATCATACATATGGGATGGTCAAAAAAAGATGAGGAAAGCTGCTGGCTGCAGTGGACTGTAAGCTTGAAGACAATGCAGCTTCTGCCAACATAGAAGCTCATTGCGGCAATGCGGGTGAAGGCTTGAGAGTGTATGGCACTTGAAGTCAATCTCTACTTGATTGACATATCTTTGTGAAATTCAACTATGTCAGATGCCCATTCCTCAAGCTTCACCTGAATCAGTCATTGTAGTTCTGATCACCTCATGCGGGGCTTCATCGACCAGGACAGTGCCTGTGAATGATTTGAGAGAGCTAGGGGACCTCAAAGTTCAAACTTTATTAACATCTTGGTTTGAGTGGTATCTTGGAAATGAAACTGATGAGAGGAAGGAGGGGGCAATTTATAGATCTGAGAAGAGAAATGGCATGGATTTTGTAAAAGAGGGATGTCAAACTCATTTCCTGTATACACAAGCAGTTGCTTCTATGAAGTATCGGAACTAAAAAAGTGCTTCTATGGAACTTCAAGTTTGACAACCATATTGCACCACCAGTTGGACTTGGCTACGTGGTATATAGATGAAACTGGGTTAAGCGAGATCTTAGGTTAAATAATAGGCTAAGTCAAGTTTGGCATCCCACATAAAATAAGAGAAATAACCAACTGTATCATAGGTTCAGGTCACTCAGGGAGACCCCCTAGACTCTTTTGAATTACCTTTTTCGAATTTATCTTTAACAACTTCATGTTTTCAACTTGTTAGCAAACATTTCAATCATATCATCCTATCCACTGATGAAGTCACCTGAAAATCTGCTTCCCTAATATGCCATAGACATTGTTGTTTCTATTAGCATGTCATTTTAACCTGGGCTGTGAGAAGAGGCAAAAGCCCCAATCGATTTATTGTTGAGGTTTGGATGGCCTGCCTCACTGATTGTGCATAGTTCTGGCATAGAGTATGATTAGCGTTTCACAGTTGTGTGCTTTTAGTTTTGTTGATCTCCATCAATGTATGGGTTTCAGACACTTAAACACTCCGCCACATAAATAAAAAACGAAGTATAATACTTAAAAGATAATCATTCACTGTCTTAAACACTAATTCTTGACTACGAATTCCACTCAACATTGCCATTCTAGGTTCAATTTCAATCAATTTTCAGACATTGAGAACCATGCAAATCAAGTTACTATTAAGCTCAAAACATACCTGGCTTGAAGAAAATCGACAGCCCGAAATCGATCATCTTCAACTTTGACTCCTCCGTCCGATTCACAAACAAGAAATTCTCCGGCTTAAGATCCCTATGCATCACCCCGAGCGAATGGCAAGCCTCCACAACCTCAACAATAACCCTAGCAAGCTCCGCCGCCTTCTTCTCCGAATAATGCCCCCTCTCTATAATCCTATCAAACAACTCCCCACCAGCACAAAGCTCCATAACAACATGCACAGCCACAGCATCCTCGTAGGCCCCCCAAATGCTAATGGCATTGGGGTGGCCGACAATGTGATGCATGATCTGGATCTCTCGGCGGACGTCGTCGACGTCCTCCTGGGTGAGGAGCTTCCGCTTGGCAATGGACTTGCAGGCTAGCTCTCGGCCTGTGGATTTCTCGATGCAAAGGTAGGTGGTGCCGAACTGGCCTTGGCCGAGCTTGCGGCCGAGGGTGTAGAGGTCTTTTAGGAGCGGGGTCTTTTGGCGGAGGACTGAGTCGGTTTGGACCCGCGGCTTTGGTTGAGGGGGTTTTTTAGGGCTAGGGTTAGGATTTTCCTTTGGGTTGAGCTCGTCGTCGGGGATTGTGATGGGTTCTGGGGCTCTGTAAGGGTCGGGAACGGCGTTTTCGTCGGAAGAAGGGGGAGGGCTAGGGTTAGGGTTTTCATTTTGGTCGGCGTTGTTTTCGTTGGATTTGTTGCTGTTTTCGTCGGGGATGTTGCTGATGGCCTCGATGGCGGGG